GGAGGGCAGTGTCACTGGCCCTCATATGTGGGATCCGAACCGGGGTCCTCTGGCATCCCAAGCAAGTTCTTAACCATCGCGCCACTCGGCCGGCCCACTCATTTGTTTTTTATGAAACAAATCTCGTCTCCCAACCAACAAGGTACTTTGCCTCACTCAGTTGGTGGTGGGAAACCTCCTCAGTCCTGCTTGTTTGTTTGTAGCCTCCTTACAGCGTCTCATGGCTCCTAAACATTTCTCTCCAGGATGTATATGTGCCTTGTGTACTTGAGGACGTGTGTTTTAGTTTTCTAAGTGACATGCCCCTGAAAAGTATTGTGTATGGGGAAACTTTGAAAGTGGAATCATTGTAAGTGTAAGAATATGATATTTATACGAATTATGTACCATTTCTTTCAAATTGAATTATTATCTTTGTAAGTTTACATAGCTTTTCCATGCTGAACCTATACATCTAGCATTATTGTAAATGTCTTCTATTAATGTACTTCTACATAGACCTCTAAACTATTATCTGTACTTCCCTGCCTCACCCAACAAGGTGCATTGACTAATCCTTCCTGGGGGGTGAAGGAGGGCCAGCCTCCTGAGTGCTCAAGTTCATTTTGTTCACCATCTTTTACCCACCGCCTTGCATAATGTCTAAGACATAAGATTTTGTTAAATGAATGAAATCATTTTTTTTTTTTACCATGTTTGTCAGTCATCACTTCTTTCACTGTCATTTCGCCTTCCTATTAGATATTTCTGCTAGGGGCTTTGCAGTCAGATAACTTATTACTGTCTTTGTATACATAAGAAATGCATGAGATTTTGCTTTCTATCTGAGTAACTTGGAGGATTCTTTTCCTTTGTGATTCTCACTGGTGATCTGAGATGGGGAGGGTGCCAGAGGCCTTGGAGTCATTAAGGACCATTTGTATATGCTTCTTAAAACAGGGCACACCTCTGTACTAAGTGAGCAGTTAGTAAATATCTAGTGAATGAAAGTACAGAATGACTATTTGTTGTATTTCCTTAGAAGTGTGTAATCTGGTGAAAACATTGCTTATTATTTTGTTTGTTTTTTTACTTTAATGTGTTTTTCTTGATTCACTGCAGAGTGATAAAATGGAATTTTACTAATTATGTATAATTCTACAATTATACTTAGTGCTGAATGCCCCAAATGTCAAAGGTAACATGGGGCATTGAGACACAAAAGATTTAAAATGTCCCATTTTCAATTAGGTCCCTCAAGGACTAGAACCATGGCTCCAGGCCACAGTGATGTCCTACCATACACAATGCTGTTGGCATCTCAGCCACTGCAGGGCCACTTCTGGAGCATGGAATTGGTCACTTGGGGATTGGATGGTAATAGGATGAATAATTTTGTCTGTCACTTAGCACCATTTTGTGTCGTTCTTTCATTTATATTATTTGTCTTTGGGGGATGAATGCTGGAAAAATCATCCAATGTGTCAGGGGAAGAAAACCTGCTTTTGGCAGCATATTCCTGCTCTGTGGTGGTTGTGATATCACCAGCATATGGCAGCTGGCATCTCTGCAAAGGGGCCAGAAGTCTGAGTCTTCGGGGAATTCTTCCAATACAGACAAGAGCCTGGTCTTTTAATAACACATTTTGGCACATCTACGACATGTCATTTACACTAATCAGACAATTGTGTAATTTTCCTTTGGGAGGTATACAAACCTGTAAGTTTTCTTACTGCTTATTTTTACCCCTCATGAGAATGGAGTTAAGTGAAAATTGTATATTAGTGACATGGGGAGATATCAACATATTTGATACATATTTTTTTGCATTTAAAATTTTTTAGTGTAACCTTCATTGTGTTATATTTTTCCTCTAGACAAGTTGGTATTAAGAATGGAATGTTTTTTGGGTACGCTAAACAACTTTGCCCTAATCTTCAAGCTGTTCCATATGATTTTCATGCATATAAGGAAGTTGCACGCACGATGTATGAAACATTGGCAAGGTACAGTATATGTCGTCATCACTGCGTGTCTGTGTTTTGCTGCTTTTGTCTGATATTAAACCGAGTCCAGCTTTAAGATTGTTAAGGTCGCTTTTGCTGGACTGTCCTTTCTTCCAGGGACCTTCTGCTCGGCACCCAGTGTGACAGCCTCCTCCCCTTTCTTAGAGCGGCTCCAGTAATCAGTAGCTTGTCTTTCTGTACAGCTGCACGGGCTCAGAATCAGACATTAGGTCTGATTGCCTGCCTGCCTGCATATCTGCTAGTCTTCCTTCCATGGAACCAGACAGATAAAGGATTGGAGTTTTTTTTGTTTGTTTGTTTTTTAATTGGGAAATTGGGGGGATGGGAACAGAGCTGGGGAATTGGGGGAAGGGGAACAGACAAGTTGCTGTCATTTTGTTCTTCAGTCTAGTTGTGGAGGACGTTGCTTCACTGGCCCAAGTTGGCACCATCATTGCGCTCTTCCCGGGCGAGGCAGATGAGTCGCCGGCTTCTGGACGGCTGCTCACTGCGGCTGCTGGCTGCTCATGCTGGCTGCTGGCTACATACGGTAGCCCATGGCAACCCACTGCCGCAGGGGCTGCAGCCTACGCCATTGCCAGCGATTCATGGCAGCCCAGCTTCAGGTTGAGCTGTTGTTCAGCATCTTAGCTGTGGAGGGCCAGTGTCACTGGCCCTCATATGTGGGATCCGAACCGGGGCCCTCTGGCGTCCCAAGCCAGTTCTTAACCATCACGCCACTCACCGGCCCAGTATTGGAGTTTTTAACCTGGTCATTCTCTTTCATTACATTTGAATGATAGTTTTGTTAACAAGTAGAGACTCTTTAAAACCCTTTATCCTCTAAAATTAGTAGGTGTGCCAAAAGTTCTTTTTTTGATAAAAGTTAGTTTTTAGTAAAAATTTCAAGGTGGCTGATTAGTTGGCTTGAGAAAAGGAGATTAGCTTATAAAATATTTACAGTGTAGGTATATTTAACATTCAAAATCAAAATTTAAGTATATGCCAGGCCATGTGTACTCAAAAGCAGAAATCAGTACATTTTTTCTGTAAAGGGCTGTGCTCCAATGTAGAGCGAAAGCAGCTGCAGACAGCACGTTAGTGAAGGGGCGTGACTGTCTCATGGCATCTTTACCAGAACAGACATCTGCACCGTGGGCCAAGGGGTGTCGACCCTTGGCCTGTATCAATGTTCTGAGAGAGGCTTCTTGCCTCTGTCTTCACCTCTTCCATGACTTTCTTATGCATCACTTTGAATACCTGTTGATTGAGACTCTATTAATCCAGACAACTGTTGATGCTGCTAGTCCTGCAGAGAAGGATGAGATCCGGTCTCTGTGCCTTTGTGGAAGCTTCGTTAGCAGTAGAGAGAAACTAGAAAGGGACAGATAAAGTTACCTAGCATCACTGTGTAGGACTGAGTGCTGCATGGTCTCCAAGACCCAAGTAACGACAGCCCTGGCACTGCCAAGTGAAAAGCAGGCTTTGTAAATCCTGTTCCAAAGATGAGCCAGTGTCTGGGAGTGGGTGACAGAGCTGAGTACTGGTCCTCCTGTGCTCTGGTTCCAGAGCAGACCCCCCAGCCTGAACCTCACATCAGGAGGCTGCGGGAGAGCCATGCACAGACTCGTCCTGCTAGAGATTTAGTCTGTCAGACATTTTCAGTGCCATCTGGCTATTTGGGGAAAAAGCATTTATGTTATTCTCCTACCACCCTTCGGAAATCCTGCCTCAGCTTCACAGCCTCCGGACCTCTGGGCATCATTCATGCTGAAGGAGGATTCCTCATGTCAGGTGTCACCTCTGCTCTTTCAAATGTCACCCTTTAATGTAAATAGTGCATGTACCTGCCATGCACTGTTGCCCCAGGCTTAGGAGTGAGAGAGAACACTCATTTCTTGGGTAAATATAAATATTAATTCGTCTAATTGTTACCCACAATAAGGTGTAGATGAAAGGTGAGTCCTGTCCCGAGTAGATGTTTCCATGTGGATTCCTGAAGATACATTTAGTTCCTGAGGCCTCTCTGGTGGCTTCCCATTTGTGGTCTGCGTGTTTAATTAGCATTAGAGCCACATGGCAACTCTCCGCTTCCTCTTCCTCTTCTCTGGCTAATTAAAACATAACCAAAAAAAAAAAACCCCAAAATATTTCCACATACAGCTCTCCTTTTAGACAGGCATTTGGGGTGATTGGCCATTATTATATCCTATAGCTTAGGCCTGCTACAGTGAATGGTATTTAATTGTGGTATTTTTGTTTAGAACAGCATTAGTTACTTATTTAACTGATTTGTGTGATTTTTTTTCTTTCTTTTCCATAAGGATCTGATAAATTATGCTTGAAAATTTTTTAGATTAAATGTTACGACATTTCTAACTCACCGACCAGTTTTCAATTATTCAGCGGTTTACAAAGGTATTTTCAGTATAGAGAAACTGCAGTGATAATTTCTGCTGTGTTTTTGGTAGATAATATGGAAAAAGAAAATACTGTTTAACTTTGTGGTTAAAAGTTAGGTGACTGAAAATGGCACTTGGACCAGTTTAATGAAAATGCTAGTATTTTTTAGCATCTTAAGTCCTGTGAGGACATGTTGAAGAAAGATACCATAGGAAGACTGTTTTTGCAGCACTTGTGTCCCTGGATGGCAAGCTGTGGCTGTGCTTCATTGCTTCTGTTTGTGTTGATAGCTACACACATAACATCGAAGCGGTCAGCTGTGATGAAGCCCTGGTGGACATCACTGAAATCCTGGCAGAGACCAGACTCACTCCTGATGAATTTGCAAATGCTGTCCGCACGGAAATCAAAGACCAGACTAAATGTGCTGCCTCTGTTGGAATTGGTTAGTGTCTGGCTCATCTCATACTATTCACTTTACTCAAAGCATTGCTTTGGTTATTGACTATCACTTAATTTTTGGGAGCGATTTTTAGATCTTGTTTGTGTTACCTTACTACATAGGCCTCTTACTTCTAAATCGGTCTTAGCATTGCTCACCATTGTGCAATATATGAGATAAAACTGTCATAAATGCAAGTAAGTGGTTGATATCTTTGGAATAAACAAGTTGGAATTTCTTGTTCTGCACAAATGGGAAGAACTAAATTTAGTATTTGTAAACACGTTTTTCCAGAAGTGCACAGAAGCCATGTTTAAAGCAGTGTGGTGGGGAGATGTGGAGTTCAGTGTTGTTAAGTTTGAGCCTATAATTCCGTTACTTTCTGAGCTTCCGCTTCCTGGAATGCTCAGCCAGTCCTATTTGTTCGCAGTTCGAGAAGCCACCCTCACTGACACGTGCCCTCAATGATGGTCCCGTCTCTCCCGCTCCTTGTCTGGTTTTTTTTTTTTGGTCTTTTTTTTGTTTGTTTTTTAAAGATTTTATTGGGGAAATGGAGAAGAACAGTGTTGGAGAATTGGGGAAGGGGAACAGCCAATTTGTTGTCCTTCAATCTTAGTTGTGGAGGGTGCAGCTAGCTCAGTTCCAAGTCCAGTTGCCATTCAGCAGCCCGTTGGTAGCTCGCAGCTGCTCGCTCAAGGTGCTGTGTTCAGTCTTAGTTGCGGAAGAGCGTAGCCCACCATCCCGGCAACCTTGTTGTTAAAAGCACATGCTCTCACCAGCTGAGCCATCCTGCCACCTGTTGGCATCTCAACAGCAGCTCAGCTCAGGTGCAGCTCACTGGCCCATGTGGGAATCGAACCGGCGGTCCTGTTGCTCAGAGCTCGTGCTCTTAACCAACTGAGCCACTCGGCCGTGCCCCACTACCCCCTCGTCTGTTTTATCTTGAAGTCTTGCACTTTGTTTCCTCAGTTACTCCTGTTTGTCCTTCTTTTGTTGACTCACCAGCTGTGCCCTCTGGCACCCTCTCTCTCACACCTAAGCTTCCCTGAGTCCCCTCCTCCCTTGAACCTGCTCAGTGCCTCTTGCCAAGGTACCTCTTTTCTTGCCATTCTCTCAAGTGGATTCAGTTTGTCCCTGCTATGCACTGTATTCCACAGGCTTAGGAGGGAGAGAGAACTTGCTCTTAACTTCCCATTGTCACTTTCAACCATTACTCCTCCATTCTCATCAAAAACCTTTCTTCATCTGAACTTCCATGTCTCATTTTTACCCTTGGGATTTTCATTGATGGAGAAACTGAGCCATGACACAGAGGCCAATGCTATTGAAGGAAGTCTTTCATGACTTGCATTTCCCCAGGGGAGGAGGGGGCATGCCACAGCACACAGGACCCCATGGGGGAGCACAAGTTTTGGTCAGGAGACAGAAGCAGGAGTGAGGGCCAGTACTAGACCAGAGCCTTCACGGGGGTTTCTTAGGGAAGGGCTGGACAGGGCAGAGTAAGCAGTTTAGGATTGGCTACTTTGGATAATTCCAGTGATCTTAGGGCTATCAGGGTGGTCTCTGGTTGCCTGGTACCTGGCCTTGGGGTGATTTAAAGCAGGAGAACTAGTGGCTGTGTGTGAGTTTGATAAGGAGGCAGTTGGGGGAGCTGGCTTGCATCTGACAGGCATGCTTCCAGGGAAGTTGTCTGCTCTGTAGCGAGCCCTGGGAGGGGAGACTCCCAGCCAGCAAGACTTAAGATGCCAGAACATCATAAGACACAGAAGCTAAACAACGTGACTCACGCAGTCAGAGCACCCCCGCTACTGGCTGCCCTGCCTGTTTACTCCCTGGGGTTAGGCCTACAGCTCTGTCTCATCACTCATGGAACAGTTAACCTGCATTCCAGAGTCAGCCATGGGCTTAGTTCCTTGATTTTCATGGTACTTATTTTTAATTAACAAGTGTGATGATGTGAATACATTATTTTAAGTTCAAGCATATAATTAATATAAAAATCCCACATGGTATTTCCACTCCTCGGTCCCTTCTTCAGAGCTCACCATTTTTATGTTGGTGTGACTTTATAGAACTTTTTCTCTTCATGGATATCTCTATATTTATCCTCATAGTTCTTACATAAGTCCTCCATAATTTCTGAGATGTCATTATTAACATACACGTTCATCTGACGTCCTGGTTTCTCAGATCCAGGCACTGTCCCAGTTCCCAGCAGCCTTCTCCTCTGCTCTGCTTTGATTTCCCTGTCCCCATCACACCTACACCATGGACTCTCAGTCAGCACCCGCCTCTGTTTCTTGGACTCATACCTTCACTCCCTGCTGCACGTGTTCTGATCATAGAGCAAGGCTTTTGGTTCTTTGGGCTTTCTTTTTCCCCCAGCCCAATAGCATTCCTTTGTCCTTATTTCCCTTCCTAGCCTGGATCTGTTGGTTGGTAAAATGAACTAAGTTTTGATCATTGCCCTCACTTCCTATAAATCACAATTGTTAGGCTTTCTGTCTCCTTTCCTTTACCTGGGTAGGTGATGATGAAATGGCACTTACTTTGGAGCAAAGAGTTACCTCTCTCCAGTAACCATGCTGCTTATAATCCGTGACACCTAACAAAATTCTGCCACTTTTGTACTGTATTTGAAATGATCAAAATTGCAAATTATTTTCATTGTTTTTAGAAATTGGTCAGTAACCTGTCTATAGATGTCTTTGTTCAGAAATTTAAAAAATAATAGTGAATATTTCTTAAACAACTTTTTGTTTTGTTTTTTACGGTAGGTTCTAATATTCTCCTGGCTAGAATGGCAACTAGAAAAGCAAAACCAGATGGCCAGTACCACTTAAAACCAGAAGAAGTAGATGATTTTATCAGAGGTCAGCTAGTTATTAATCTACCAGGTAAATATAAATCTTTTCTTTTTAACATTTATTTATTGTAAATATTTACTAGTACTAAATGTCCCATTCCAGCAGTTCTCAACCTGTGGGTCGCAACCCCTTTGGGGATTCACAGGGGTCGCCTAAGACCATCGGAAAACAAAAAGATATTTACATTACGAATCATAACAGTAGCAAAGTTACAGTTATAGAGTAGCAACAAAAATAATTTTATGGACGGGGGTCACCACAACATGAGGAACTGTATTAAGGGGTCGTGGCATTAGGAAGGTTGAGAACTGTTCTCCTATTCGGTTGTCGGAAAATTCATGACGCATTTTTGCAACGAAAAACAAAAAATACATCATGACTTTTCCGACAACCCAATATAATGTATCTCTCCCAAATCATGAATTAAAATTTTTGTTTATTTATTTTTGAGTGCCATGAAAAATAAAATTTGAATCTTTTTTTTTAATTAAAATTAATTGCAGTGACAATGGTTAGTAAAATTACATAAGTTTCAAGTGTATAATTCTGTAATACATCATCTATTTATCACATTGTGTGTTCACCACCCAGAGTCAGTTCTCCTCCCATCACCATATATTTGACTCCATTTACCCTCTTCTACCACCTCCCTTCCCCCTTATCCCCTGGTAAGCACTAAACTGTTGTCTGTGTCTATGAGATTTTGTTTCTTTATTGGTTTGTCTTGTTCCTTTGTTGCTTTCTGTTTTATATCTCACATATCAGTGAAGTCATATGGTTCTCAACCTTGACTTTTATTTCACTTAGCGTATTAATCTCAAGATCCATCCATGTTGTCACAAATGGCACTATTTCATCTTTACTTATGGCAGAGTAGTATTCCATTGTGTATATATACTACAACTTCTTTATCCAATCATCTATCAAAGGACACTTTGGTTGTTTCTATGTTTTGGCCACCATAAATAAAGCTGCAGTGAAATTGGAGTACATATATCTTTACGGATAAATGTTTTCAAACTTTTTAGGTAGATGCCCAGGAGAGGGATTGCTGGATTATATGGTAATTCTTAATTTTTTGAGGAACCTCCACACTGCCTTCCATAGCGGCTTCACCAATCTGCATTCCCATCAAAAGTTTATGAGCGTTCCTTTTTTCTCCACAGCCTCTCCAACACTTGTTATTATTTGTCTTGTTGATGATAGCCATTCTAATTGGTGTGAGGTGATCTCTCATTGTGGTTTTTATTTGCATTTCTCTGATTAGTAATGTTGAGCATCTTTACAAAATTTGAAATTTCATACTGAAAATCTCTTCGCTTGATTTATCAGAACTTTAATGTTAAATTTTAGTTTTTCTTCTGAAGTGTTTTACTTTGATTCTCAAGTAGCAAGATTAAAGAATTCTAAGAAATCATTTTCAAGGAAATGCTTGTATGATGAAATTGACTTTTGGTCTCTTAAATAAATCATAATTGAAATAGTGTACTTTTAGGCTGAAGATAAAATTTTGAGCGAGTCCTCTATTTACAAAATTATCTTGCCAGACTAATGACAGTTTTCTGAAATTAGTAAACAAATAGTTTTAATTAAAAGTATAAAATGCCTTTGTGAGGGGTGTAAATGTCTAATCATGTTGTTTTGTACACCTGAAACTAATAAAAAAAATAACCATGTGAATTAATATCCCCAAAAAAGTATAAAATGTATGAATCATATTTGGAAGAGTAAAACCTAAAGATAAAGTATTGTGTTTTGTTAACTCAAAGATTAAAGTAAAACTTCCATCTATATCTTTCTGGACTACGGGGCAGGATGTTTAGTTATTTTATAGTTTTGTGTAGTTACTGTGTGGCTAACTTAGCATGTAAAAATCTTCTTATGGAGAAATCAAATATAATTAATTATAACTGAAAATGATTGCCTTTTAAAGGGCCTTGAATAGATGCAAATTTTTGTTGTAGGATAATTCATTTCACAGTTACTAAGTATTTAGACTTGCCTTCTATGGTAGATGCCTCTTTCTAAGCATTGTCTCTAAACCGTATATCATTCCTGATACTATTTCAGATAACCGTCTCCAGTTTGCTCTAAAGCAGAAGCTCCCTGTATTTGTGGTGGGGAAAGTTCAAGGCAGTACATTTTTAATGAAAGTTTTTTGAATTGATTTGTTTGTTAAAAGTGGATTTAGTGGTATTTTTAGGTGCATATTCTTAAACCTAATAAAAGTATATCTGAACTAAGAAACTTCTGTTATGGGCTATAAAATACTAAGTGACCCAAATGCCATTTTACGATGGGTTAGTTTTAAAGCTTCCTGACGCCCTAGTAAATAGCTCAAAAGAATGTATTAGTGTCAGAAATGTAAAATATGACATTTTGGTGGTCGGTTTGAAGTTAAATTTGAATAATTAATCTTATAAAATCAAGGTAGCAAATTACAGCAGGTCCTTGAATAACATGATTTCATTCAACATCGGTTCGTTATAACGTTGCTGAGAAAAAAATTGATTTCTGGTGAGATCACTGTCAGTGTGGACTTGCCATGTTCTCCCCATGTCTCTGTGGGTTTTCTCTGGGGACTCTGGGTTCCTCCCACACCCCGAAGACGTGCCAATGAGGGGGAGTCAGCGTGTCTGCATTGTCCCCGTGTGAGTGAGTGGGGGTGTGTGAGGGGCCCCGTGGTGGAAGGACATCCTGTCCAGAATGGGTCCTGCCTGGCAGCCTGAGCTGCTGGGGTGGGCTCCTGCCACCATGACCCTGAACTGGAATCAGCGGGTTGGAAAAGAATGATCTTGTTTGTTTTTATTCATCTTTCTTCATTGTGTATCTGGCTCACCTTTACTCCAGTGTTTAATGTTAAAACTGTTTGGGGTCTTTATTTAGAAGTTTGGTGATGTTTTTGTGACTAGAAATATGCCGCAGGAATCTTAACTCTTGTTCCTATCAATTAACCTAAGGTAAAACTGCTTTCCTTATACCTTGCTTCACTTAAAGTTACAATTTCAAAGAACCTTGGATGATGTTAAGTGAGGACTCTGTACCTTCCTAGAAAACACAATTTAAACAGTTTAATTATACCTCTTTGCACTTTTATATAAAAAGGAACCAGGCTGCATGTGAACCTTGAGTTTGAGTTTATTATACTGGCTATTATACTAGCTATTCCTATTAGTTTGCTCAGGATGCCATAACAAAATACTACAGACTGGCTTAAACAACAGAAATTTATTTTCTCAAGATTTCTGGAGGCCAGAAGTCCAAGATCAAGGTGTCAGCAGGGTTGGTTTCATTTTGAGGCCATCTTCTCTGTCTCCTCACATGGTCTTTTATCTATGTGCATGTCTTACCCTAATCGCCTCCTCTTATAGGGACACCAGTCATATTGGATGAGGGCCACTCATATGACCTCATTTTACCTGTCAAGGCCTTATCTCCAATTATAGTTACATTCTGAGGACCTGGGAATTAGGATTTCAACATAGGAATTTTGAGGAGACATACTTCAGTCCATAACACCATCTTTAAATGAATCCTTTTTGTAGGTTTTTGTTTATTATTATTGTTTGTTGGATTTTTTAACAAAGAAAGAGGATTTTTAGTTCCTCAACCAAGTAATCTTACCTTTCGCCTTTATTTGCTTCCTGGCTGGAAGGGACTTCATTTCTTGCAGGGCAAGTATGAGGTGACATCACCTGGTTGAGTTCTTAGGCTCAGCCTCAAATTTCTTAAGGGATGCCTGAAAGATGGGGTAGCAAGGTTGGTGTTCTCTGGTAAGCCACCTTGTCCTCATGCGGCCTCCTCCTTCCAAACCAGGGTGTATGCACCAAAAATTGTTGGTGTGATTTGCATGTGTTTAAACTCTTGACTTTCATAAAATCCCCCAATTCTTAATCAATTTAGAACATTTCAGATATGTAAAATATCAGCTTTGTTGCTATCCCTGTCCTGAAAATCCACATCTTTTCCCAGAATGTGTGCTACAAAGTAAAAGTACAAGCTGTTCTTTAAAAAAGGACTTCACATCAGTGTGAAAGCCCTTTGCGGGGGAGGGCCCATGCAGTAAAAGTTCTGAGGATTCTTAAACCTATTTATGTTTGATAAAAACTAGTAATCTCACAAAGCATTTGAAGATGAATACAAGGTCTGACAATTAAGTTTGTGAACTCATCCTAGAAAAAGTGCTAATACCTCATTGCTGAATATCACTATGGTCACCTTTGAAATACTCCCCTTGGGAAGCTATGCACCGATGCCAGCGTCTAGTCCATCCTTCACAGCAGTTTTGGAACTCTTTCTGGAATGGCCATCAGAGCTGATGTTGTATTACCCTTGATGTCCTGAATGTCATCAAAATGTCTTCCTTTCAGTATTTCCTTTATCTTCGGGCAATGAAAGAAGTCATTGAGGCCCAGATCAGGTGGGTAGGGATCGTGTTCCAATACAGTTACTTGTTTACTGGCTAAAAACTCCCGCACAGACAGTGCCGTGTGAGCAGGTGCATTGTCGTGATGCAAAAGCCATGAATTGTTGGCAAAAAGTTCAGGTTGTTTTCGTTTAACTTTTCCATGCAGCCTTTCAGCACTTCCAAATAGTAAACTTGGTTAACTGTCCAGTTGGTACAAATTCATAATGAATAATCCCTCTGATATCAAAAAAGGTTAGCACCATCATTGCAACAGGTTCGCAAATTTAATTATCAGACCTGGTGTAATGCCTATTAACAACTTCAGGAACACGCTTTGAGGAAATTTTGCTCTCTAACCAATAACCAGAAGAAATTCAGTGTTACCACACCTCGCTTGTTGTCCTCCACTATCTGTTTTGCCCTCTGTGTCCATAAATGTTTACTGAGCACATAGTGTGCCTAGCATAGTATTACACAGTTACTGTAGCTATGTAAGAAGGAAAAACACTAGTAAGGTGGTTTTAGGGAACTCTACAGAGTAATGATTATGTGTTAGGTTAACAAATAAATTACACATTGAGATCTGTTTATCTAATGAAAGATAGGATAGTCCCCAAAAACAATGTAAATACAATAGCTATTTCTGCGTGTTCTCTGGATCTTTCCACCCTGTGTGTGTGTGCCTTTAAGGCCCTTCTGAACCTTTTTCAGCCTACACTGGGTTTGTGCACTCTGCCTGTGGTTTCCATCTCTTCATTGCATTCTCAAATAAACGCCGTGTGCCCTGTGGGTAGACCTAAAGATTGATGCTGTCCTGACATGGTCCAATAGCCAAGTGAAGCTAGTAAAATTTAAAGTGAAATTAAAGTTAAATGAAACTAAAATTCAGTTCCTCAACCACGTCAGTGCTCAGTAGCCACATGTGGCCAGTGCCCCACTGAACAGGTAGGCACAAGTAGGCACAGAACATTTCCATCATCACAGCAGTTCCATTGGACAGCCCTCACTTAGATGATGGAAACATTGTTCCTAAAACATGACTTGTCTGTGTCTCTGCTGGACCATCACGTTCTGGATGCCCGGGAGGACCTTACTGGCCATTTCTCATCTGGAGTAATCATCCCCCTTCAAGGACACATACCAAGTCTTTGTCCCAGTGGCTTGCCCATAAGCTTCCACATCTATCTTTTTCTTCTCTCCTTCTCAGAGACTTGGTTCTGAGCTAGCGTATTTCTTCACTTTTTCCCTTGGAGATGGCTGCACTCACTGTGACCCTAAGACCCTGCCACTATCCTTAGAAGTGCCCCCTTTCTGTATAAACACTTACATGATGCAGTCAGGTAAACTAGCAACCCTCTTGGGGTCTCAGTGCCAATTCCAAGCTTACCTTCCCACCCCACTCCAGGTGAAAGGGTTAGAGGCTGGGCGTCCCCTCTACTCCCTCCCACTCTCCACTCCAGGCGCATCCCATTGCACAGATGCGCTTGCAGTACTGAGTCTTGCCTTCTTCCCCACAGGGACAGTGCAGTTAGGCCAGGTTGGTTGTGGCTAATTTGATGATGTTTAATATATCGTTTCTTTTGTAGCTGTTAGTGAATAATAGCTCTTTTCCGGTACCCAAGATACTTTCAAAAACTATAGGTTTCCCCCTGCTCCCCCCTCAGCCTCTCCCCAGTGTATGTGCACATGCACTTGTGCGTGCACATGCACTTGTGTGCGCATGTGCGCGCACACACACACACACACACACACACACACACACACACACACACACACAATTAATCCAGGATTATTATTGCCCCTTGCTGATTTTGCAAGTCAGAGCAGATCGGCTCCCAGATCTCTAAGGAAAGATCATGATCATGTTTCGAGGGTGGGGAGCAGGGCAATGATGGGAAGAAAAAATAGAGCCAGATCCTTCCCTGAACATGAACAGCTGTGTAAAGTGTCTGTCTTGTCTGTCTGACTTTGGCCAACCAGTATATGAGTTGTCCATCTCATAGGTTTCTCCTCCCCACCTTGAAAAACCCTCAGGTAGCTTTCACTTAGAATTTCACCTTTGTGTGAATAAGCCTTTGGAAGATGTTTTTTGCTGTCAAGCCAAACTCTGGTATTGTTCTTTGTTTGGACTTGAACTTTAAAAAATGGCCAAGACATGGAAACAATCGAAATGTCCTTTGATAGATGACTGGATAAAGATGTTCTACATATATACAATGGAATATTCCTCTGCCATAAGAGAAGATGAAATACTGCCATTTGGGACTGCATGGATGGATCTTGAGATTATCATGCTAAGTGAAATAAGTCAAACAGAAAAAGTTGAAAACCATATGACTTCACTCACAGGGATATGAAACTGAAAGCAACAAATGAACAAGACAAACAAGCAAAAACTCATAGGCACAGACAACGATTAGTGGTTACCAGAGAGTATGGGAAGGGGGTGTGGCAGAAGAGGGTAAAGGGGGTCAAATACATGGGAAGGAGATTTGACTTTGGGTGGTGAGCACACAATGCAATATATAGATGATGTATTATAGAAATGTACACTTGAAACCTATGTAATTTAATTAATGTCACCCCAATAAATTTAATAAAATAAATAAAACGGCACAAATGGGAGGCAGCGCCCTTAACACCTTTTATCTAACTTCCATTGGTTTAAACTTGTCTCGTCCACTTCCATGGTCTTTTGTGAAGTTAACCTCCTAACCTTGTGTCATGCATGACTGCTTCAAGAGGCTCTGGCAGTACTTAGACCAGACTGGTTGTTCCCACTACTGAAGATACTCAGAGAATAGGAACCAAGTAACTGTGACGAGCAGAGGTGTCAGACATCGGTCTGAGCTCTGATAAGATCCTGCTGAAGACCAGAGATAGTATTTTCCTCATTGATGGAAAATGTCCATTTTAATAAGAATTTTCACTTCTCTAGGTTACTCTTAAATAGCTTTCTTAGATATGTATACTTTTGTTAAGCTTTTGGGCAAAATGAAAACAACAGATCCTATTAGCATCATTTGGGTGAGGTTCAAACCTTGCATCTCGAAGAGTGTGACTGACATCCAGACTGCTGCCTGCTGGCCCAGCTGCAGGAGAGGCAGGGCCTTTCCAGGGAGATAATCTTTGTTGATAAAAGAAGTCATGGCCACTTTGCTTCGTTCCCAGGTCACTGTACTAATTGCCTACTCTGATGGCAAGTAACATTTTCAGGTTTGGGCCTGTGTCGTAAGTCCTTGTTCTAGTTCCCATTTAAATAAAGTGTGGTTGAGTCTATATGGTAAAGTTTGGCCCCCAGTGAAATCATAGTAGAGCCCTGACCTCCGTGAGTTTCCTCACGTCTAAGTCCTACTATAGACTTGCTTAAACAAGTCTACAACTTAGTTGACTTTGTAAATGACAGAAATCTTCTTTTTTTTTTTTTTTAAGATTTTATTGGGACAGGGTAACAGCCAAGTTGTTGTCCTTCAGTCTTAGTTGTGGAGGGCGCAGCTAGCTAGGCTCCAAGTCCAGTTGCCATCGGGCCGCCCATCGGCAGTTCACAGCCACTCAGCTCAAGGTGCCGTGTTCAATCTTTGTTGCGGGTGGACGTAGCCCACCATCCCATGCAGGAGTCGAACCGGAAACCCTATTGCTAAGAGCACACGTTCTAACCACTGAGCAATCCTGCCACCTGTTTACAGCTCAGCTCAGGCGCAGCTCACTGGCCCATGTGGGAATCCAACTGGCGACCCTGTTGCTCAGAGCTTGCGCTCTTAACCAACTGAACCACTCGGCCGGCCCTAGAAATCTTGATATTACTCAGTAATAAGTAAAAATCACATTCTTTTGAGAACTCATTTATATGTATTTGAGAAATTCTGGTTCACCTATATGTGGAGCCCAGACTGAGAAGAAGGTGCTACAAATAACTTTACTAGCATGATTTGTTCTAAAGAATTCTTTTATAATCTCTGAGATGCTTCAGTCATGTCACTTAAGAATTTCAAGGGAGATTATTCTAAATTAGTTGTTTTATGTACGAATGATAGTTATTTCATATTGATAAATTGTTTTTAGTTTATGTACAGAATTAAATAACTGTATAGATCCCCTTTCCTAGGAGTTGGCCGTTCGATGGAATCCAAATTGGCATCTTTGGGAATTAAAACATGTGGAGACTTGCAACACATGACCATGGCAAAACTCCAAAAAGAATTTGGTCCCAAAATAGGTCAGATGCTTTATAGATTCTGCCGTGGTTTGGATGATAGACCTGTTCGAACTGAAAAGGAAAGAAAATCTGTTTCAGCCGAGATCAACTATGGAATAAGGTTCACCCAGGTACTGACTTCTTAATGGGCTTTACCTCATATTGTCCTTTATATTCTCACATATTCCTGTCTTGTCAACTACACCAACCTCTTGATGCTTGAAATTAAGTCTTAAAGACTCTTGTTATTCCCAAAGCATGCAGAATCTGTGTGTTTAACAGATGCTTCTTGGGATAGTCAGTAATGTACATGTTTAATATTGAAAGTTAAAATAGTTGAAGAGTTGTTGGGTGTATAGGAAAATAACATGGGAGTTTTTCTGGGGGTTTTTCCGTAGCCAAAAGAAGCAGAAGCTTTTCTTCTGAGCCTTTCAGAAGAAATTCAAAGACGACTTGAAGCTGCTGGCATGAAGGGTAAACGCCTGACTCTCAAAATCATGGTACGAAAGCCGGGGGCCCCTGTAGAAACAGCAAAATTCGGAGGCCATGGAATTTGTGATAACATCGCCAGGTAAGCTTATCTTAAAAAGGATATTGGATATTAATATTTCAGTGCAGGTCATTACAATTAATAGAAACTAAGGGAGAATATGAATAAAGATCTGTAAACTAATGTTGATAATCTGTAGAGCCCAAAGTCATTTGAATTATGGTAATGCCAGTCACATGAGCCTTTAGCAACAGGTCAGCCTGTCGGTGTGTTCCTGACCTTCGCAGCCTACCCCTGGGGTCTTGAGGCTGTTGATCTTAGTGCATGGACACAAAGAAGAGAAAAGCCTAACATCTGCAACCATGGATATAGTTGTGGACTTGGGGGAAGGGGCCTGTGAGGAAATTTATTTATTTAAGATTTTACTGTGGAATTGAGGAAGGGGAATAGCGTTGGGGAATCAGGGTAGGGGAACAGTCCTTTTGTTCTTTAGTCTAGTGGAGCCATCATTGTTGGTGCCATCACTGTGCTCTTCCCAGGTGAGACAGTCAGTTGCCGGCCATTGGACAGCAGGCAGCTCACGGTGGCTCTGGCAGCTCTCACTGGCTGCTGGCCACTCACAGCACACACCATCGCCAGCCACTACAGCAGCCCAGCTCCAGATTGAGCTGTTGTTCACAATCTTAGCTATAGAGGCTGCAGGTCACTGGCTCATATGAGAACCGAACCGGCAGCCCTGCTGTTCAGAGTTCATGCTTCCAAGCCAACTCTTAACCAACTGAGCCACTTGGCCAGCCTGGAAATTTTAATAGTAATTCAGCAAATGATTTGAATGAGACATTTGCTTCATTGAGGGAGGTCAAATTTTGGGTTGTGAAAAGATTGATCATTCTAGTCTCTGAAAACTGGTAGAAAGCATTTAAAAACCCTGTTTTTTTATGAGAGGGCGACTAGTATAAAACTTCAGTTAAGATTTGTGACCAATATGAAAATATGTAGCTTTGTACGCCATTTTATACCACACTGCACTGTATTTTATCTGTCGGTCATCCAAAGCTTTGAGAGACTTTTGGCCCTGAAAGCCATATACGGAACTCTAAACTATATTTTAATTAAGGGTTAGCGCATGCCAACCATATATATTACATTCCCGTATTTATAGTGATGTGGCTAAGAGTAATGAGGTGACACTCTAAAACAGAAAACTTCCAACTTTATCATTAATGCTTTTCTTCCCCTAAGAAAACAGGGATTCTAAATTATACATTAAAAAACATAGTTTATAAAATATATGCGTTTGACAACCTTGAACTGTTTGTTATATTTACCTATTTTAATAAACATTTTGATGTACCCATATTTCAAATGGTCAATGAATATAGTGTAAGTGGTCGTTTCTATTTAAGTTGGTTATTAGGACCTTACTCTGGATAGAATTCTTTTTAAACATGGTTTCTATGGCAAAATCAGATCCAGTGTATAATACCTTTTCTGGGAATGTAACCTGGAGCTTTATTTTTTCACGAAACATGGACAGGATCATCCAGAAATGAAGTAATTTTCCTTTGGGAGGAAAACTAGTAGCAGGTGGTTTCCTGTTGCCGTGTTTGCAGTTTTAAATGTCTCATAGTCACTTAGCTTTGTGCACCATGGAGCCCTCCATTGTGCCTGGGGGCTCACCCTGTCACATCTTACTAAGAAACCAGCCTTCATGTCGTCATCTTTAGAAAATCTAGCTTCTCTAAAAATCTAGCATTTAAAAAGCTGGGATTAATTATACTTTCTTTCCCCTAACTCAGGATAATATTCAGCTCTTTTGTAAGCACATATCTGCTTGTTGTTGTTGGTATTTGTTTCTTTTTTGTCCTAACTGTTAGAAAAGTTTATGAAAATTTTAAACATATACAAGAGTAGGAAGAATAGTATAATGACCCTACGTGCCCATCACCTGGTTCCAGTGATGGCTGTTAGCTTCCTGCACTGTGCCTCATCCCCTTCCCGTTAATGTGAAGCAAATCTAAGATGCCGTATACTTTCTTCACAGTATCTCAGTGTTTATCTCCAAGGTAAGGCCTCTTTGTTTAGTAAACAGTGATAAACTATACATTTTGCTGTGCCCTTAAAGTACTAACTTTGGATGAGACGTGATGATGCAAAAGGGGCACGTGATTAATTGAAACGTGTCATTTCATCCGCGTCACCAAGCCATAGACCAATCATGAGTCTTTAACTTAAACCTGACATTATGCTTGTATTATAACTGCATAAATGCTTCAGGTGAGCGATTATGAAAAATTATAATACTGACCCTCTATTTCCTCTAACTCAGAGGTTTACAAACTACTTCCTGTGGGCCAAATCCAGCCTGTGGCCTATTTTTATATGATTGGTATGAGGAAGAATGGTTTTTACATTAAAGGTTGTGAAAAGTGAAGAATGTGTAAGGGACCACTAAGCACCAGCTATTTACTGCCAGGCCCTTTACAGAGAAGTGTGTGGCCCCTGCGGTGGTCTAACTAAAGGGGCGTGCTCCACATTCTGTCATTCTGTAATCTCGTAACTGGCCTTTTTCAGATGCTACATGGCAACGGTGACTTACAGACCCCGATACATGATAATACTGTAACAGAAGTGACTGATTTTAAGTCACATGTCAAAGAGCCACATGTACACTGAGTTCCATGGCTTATCACTTAGGAAAAGTTTTCTGATACCAGTTTTCCTTGTAGGATAAGAAATTTTTTCCCCTTAGAGTTCTTTTGTATATGTGTTTTTAATTTGAATTACATACACACATTTTATCTCAGCTAATACATGCAATTGAAAGGGTGTCACACACAATGCTTTTAGTCCCAGCTCTGAGGGCCATTCTTTTCAACTTTCTATTGGTTTCTTCTGGTGTTTACATCCATATTTCTAGATACACAGTTCAGCTGCTATTTCTAGCTTATTTCACTTTTGCAGATGTTTACTGACTTTCTTACTGTAGATGAGGGTTTACTCTCTCCCGTTGCTGTGGGTCTTTCCCTATGTGCCTATTTCCTTTGGCCCAGTGAAGTCAGTGGATTTGAGTTCATTCAGTCTAGTGTTGCGTTTTTATGACCGATTACAGAGCTGATTGAATTGTCTACTACGGTCACATTTCCTTTCCCGTTGAATTGGTTTTTCCTGGAGTTACTGAGTGTCTTGTTTTACTTGTTTGCTTTTTTGTGAACTTGCCAGGTTAGCCCCCAACTCCCTTCTAGTACGTTTCACTACATCAGCAATCTCTTGGTTTGACCTTTTTTCTCTGAGGTCTCTCTTGTTCCCCGCTCCCTTCGCCTGCAGCTCCAGTCTAGGGTGGATTTTTTTGTTTTGTTTTGTTTTTATTGGAGAACAGTGTGTTTCCAGGACCCATCAGCTCCAAGTCAAGTAGTTGTTTTCAATCTAGTTGTGGAGGGTGCAGCTCAGTGGCCCATGTGGGGATCAAACTGGCAACGTTGGTGTTATGAGCACTGTGCTCTAACAGAGCTAACCGGCCACCCCTAGGGTTGTTTATTTTAAGACCTCCTGAAAAGTTGGAGTTGTGGGGGTCCCTTCTCTGATCTGTGGTCCTCCTCCTAGTTACCTTACTGAGGAAGAACGTAAATTGTTTTAACCGTCTGTCCTCATGCTCACTGGTTTTGCTGACTAAAAGGTTATAAATGTAACTTAGAAACCATTTTTTCTTAAGCCATTTAAAGCTGTTCTTTCTCAGGATCACCACTGAAAAGTCAGTGCTCTTCTGATTGCCTGTTTCTTACAGGGTCTCTTCTTTCCCTTGGAAACTTCCAGGATCTCTGTATCCCAGGGCTTCTGGAATGTTGTTGGTCTTTGTCTTTGTGCCAGGTACTTTGTCAGTATTAAATTTTTTGTTTCCAGTAACATTTTAAATTTCTGAGTGTTTTGTTTTGTTCTTTGGACGTTTAAACATTCCTAACATGTCTTGTTTCACAGATGCAGTATTAACCTCTTATCTCTTAAATACTTTTCTAGTTCCCTTGTCAGACTTTCTCCGAGTTCCTTTTTGCCTGTCTTGGTTGCAGTCTTTTATATTGGAGGTTTTTCTTCAAGAACTTGTCTGATAGTTCCGTCTTTTCATATGTGAACTGCTGTGATGTTGTGGACCCTCAGGACTCTTTAGTGAGAGGTGTAGACAGCATAGGGGGGTGGTTGGAGAGGCCTGCTGTGGGGCTACATAACCAATTGGTCGTTCTGGTTGGCTCCTCAGCTTCCCCAGAATGAAACCCTCCCATCTCTTGCCTCGGGGCTGGGTGAGAAGATGCATTCTGTTTACTCAGTAGGAAAGGGGGCCTGGGTGGGGAGGGTGAGCGTCTGCCTCACTCTTGCCTTAAACTGTGCTGGAGGTCCCATGGCTTCTTGGTCATACTGTGTTTCCCCGAAAATAAGACCTAACTGGAAAATAAGCCCTAGCATGATTTTTCAGGATGCTTGTAATGTAACCCCTACCCCAGACATAAGCCCCAGTTAAGATCGTCAGCCAGACATGACTGAATAAATGTAGATTTTTGTACATGAATACATGAATAAATGTAGATTGTTGGAGCAAAAATTAATACAAGACCCGGTCTTATTTTCGTGGAAACATGGTAGTAAGTCTTCCACAAAGGAGGGGGGATCTGTGAGCGGCCACTTCTGCACATTCTCAGCCCCGTTCTCCCCTTCCTTTCATAGGTACCTGGTACCTCTACTTAATGGCACTTTTTTGAAAAGTGGTTTTTCTTAAGTTGGTACCTTGCTGTAGGCTTTTAGCAGGCATTTGGCAGCTTCCTGTTTACTGAGCTGCTTTCAGTATTCTCATTTGGTTAATGTTTCTTCCTCTGGTCTTCTCCTCTCCCATTTCTATCTTTTAAGAGTTGATACCTTTTAAAAATCATTTCAAGTCAGTTTAGTGGCGTTTTAGAAAGAAATGAGGATAAACAAATTTAAGGCACCATGGTCCACTAAAAACCTTACTTTTTAAATTAGTCTGTGAGAAATAAATGGAAGGTAATTATTAGGTAACAATATCAATATTTTGCAAATGGTTTCCTTAAAGAAACAAGTACTTTTCATAGATGAATGTGTAGTGTCCTTATGGTCCTGAAAAAAGCAATACAGTAACCATGTTGTGGAACCTAGTAGTGCTGGGGTGCCCCAGGCCTTACAAGTCTGAGAACTGTTGGGTCGTCGGGAAAGTCATGACGTATTTTCTATGTTTTTCAATGCAAAAATGTGTCATGACTTTCCCGACAACCCAATATATTCCAGGCTCCCTGGTGCTTAGACAGGGCACCATCATATCCTTTGTCATAGCTGTCCACATCTTCATCCATTTATAGAGCGTCTGAGAGGAAGTGGAATTATAATGAGTATATTCACATGCTGAACTTGCACAAGACTTTACCAAAAACATAATGAAGAGTCAAGAACCAAAATACAGGGGATTCACCTTTCTTTTCTGAGTATTAGCCAGACCTCAACATAGATAATCTTGGAACCCAAAACTGTGCTTGCAATCAAAAACATACCATTCATGCTTTAGTTGCAACATATTGTTTATATTTGTATATGCATTAACAAAAATACATCTTTTTTAAAAAATAAGGTCCATCTTATTTTTAGTTGATCAGTTCTCCTATTAGCTTTTATCTTAAAGTACCAAGGTTTTGTATGCTTCTTCTTTTCCTCTTGCTGCCAGTGTAATGAATTGATTTGGTATTACTGGCTTCCTTGAAGGAAGACTGTCTCATTGATTTTTCTTTTTTAAAGATTTTTATTGGGGAATTGGGGGGGATGGGAACAGACAAGTTGCTGTCATTTTGTTCTTCAGTCTAGTTGTGGAGGATGTTGCTTCACTGGCCCAAGTTGGCACCATCATTACACTCTTCCCGGGCGAGGCAGATCAGTCGCCGGCTTCTGGACGGCCGCTCACTGCGGCTGCTGGCCGCTCACACTGGCTGCTGGCCACATAAGGTAGCCCATGGCAACCCACTGCAGCAAGGGTTGCAGCCTACACTGTCAACTCATGGCAGCCCAGCTCCAAGTTGAGCTGTTGTTCAGCATCTTAGCTGTAGAGGGCGCAGCGTCACTGACCCTCATGTGGGATCCAAACCAGGGCCCTCTGGTATCCCAAGCCAGCTCTTAACCATCGCGCCACTCAGCCGGCCCTGTCTCATTCATTTTTAAGGATTATATTTAGTACTTTAAATTTTTGTAGCTTTACAACTTTTCTGTAACTCTTTAAACAGTTCAATACTACTGAGATACTAGTAAATACATGTGGAATGCAGCTTTTGTTCCTTTTAAAAAGTTAATTCTACCACTTTACAGGACTGTAACTCTTGACCAGGCAACAGACAGTGCAAAAATAATTGGAAAGGCAACACTAAACATGTTCCATACAATGAAATTAAATATATCGGATATGAGAGGGGTGAGTATATAACGTTTTGAAATCCTTTCTGTGATGTTTTGTCATTTGAGGCTTGATCTGAGAACCATTATGGTGGGGTAGAGGTTTATTTGCAGGTTTCAGCTCCTTTGGTATAATATAAGCAGAACAGAAACTGAAAAACTCTTTTGACTTTCTCATCTGACCTGATCTCGTTTTTCAGAGAAGAGTCGAATTTGTTCTGAAAGCACTTTGTTTTCCACCTAGGATAATAATTTTATATCTTGAGTTTTTACAGCACCTTACTTTTAATTATCCAAGGACTGACTTTACATGCGTTATCTTACTTCCTGTTGACATTCCCCTAGAAGCCGATGGGACTGGGAGGAGTGAGTGCAGATTCTTGTCCCTGTCAGGTCTTTTTTAATCAGAAGTTTATTCTCATGTCTGATGAAGGGTGATCTAGAAGGGAGACGTTACCACAGGCATGTGAAGATGCCTTTGCAACAGACGCGTTCTCAGAAACATGCACACCTTCATTTTCTTAAAAATTAACCTTGGTTAGTTCAGGTGTGTGTGTATACACACACTAGTCAAGGGTAGTTACTGCCTTGGTGTGGGTTTTGTGCAAGGATTAGAAAGCTACTTAAGGCAGCCATGATTAAACCTCCCTGCAGTAGTGTTCCAAGGTTTTGTGGTGTCCGGGTACTTGTACAGGTGCCCATCCCACCCCGAAACCTATGGCTGCATATCATTTTATATTAAGTAAATTTGCAGATATAGACTGTCCAAACCTAGCTGGCTAGAATTAGTTCAGTGGGATACAGCACCCTCCTTTCTTGGATTTTCTGGTTTTGAAGAGATTGTAGTTTATTTGGGTAGAATTGGCTACTTGAGGATTTAGGGGGGAATAACTGCTTACTAGTTAGTATAGAAGTCGTTTTTGTAATAAATCATGTAAAGGCTGTTTGAATACTTTTCATTTAACCTTATATTCTAGAAACAGGATCTAGAAGATGTAAAAAGAGGATTAGCTAGAACTTTGTTGAGTTCATATCTTGCTTTAGTTCTTTGTGAAACATATTCTTTGATTTCAGGTTGGGATTCATGTGAACCAGTTGGTCCCAGCTAATCCCAACCTGTCCGCGTGCCCCAGTCGCCCATCAGGTCAGCCAGGCCACTCTCCTGCTGGGTCACACTCTGTCCTCGATCTCTTCCAAGTTCAGAAAGCTAAGAAGTCCACAGAAGGGGAGCAAAATGAAGGTCAGTGGTAAAAGTCGTCTGGCATAGGTTTATGTGAACTTTTAAGAAACAAACATGACCTGAGTTAGGAACAGTAGTAACGCTTGTTGATTTTCAAATGATTGGAAGAGACTATTTTATGTATTTTCTGTCCTTTCAGTATTTGCTGCCACCACGGATCTGGAAATGTCATCGGCCTCCGGAACGTGCACTTTCCTGCCATCTTTTCCCACACATGGGACATCAAGTACCAGTCCCACTACTAGCAAAGCCGAGTCCTCAGGGAAGTGGAATGGTCTACATTCTCCCGTCAACTTAAAATCAAGATTTAACCTGAGCATAGAGGTCCCATCACCTTCCCAGGTATATTTCTATAGTTCTACAATAAATGTGATTTAAGTGCTCAAGCAGCTTTACAGTACGAATGATGTTTTTAATTTATCAGTATAGTCGAAGAAGGAAGAGGGGATGACTTGTTAGGGTGGCTCATGGTATTACTGAATTCCAAATGGGAAATCAGTTTAGGTGAAAGATTGTGCTTTTGTAGATTTGCAAATCCTGCAAGTTGGAAAACATGGATGAGAGCCAGTTCTGTGAACTGTCACAGCCATTTTACCACTTTGTGACAGCATGCAGCTTTGGATTAGCGGAGGCCATAGATGAGAGATTTTCCTGGCAGCACGTGCCAGCAGTCCCCTCTGTACCCAACATTCCTGATGGATGCACTTACTTGGTAGCTGTGGGCTGAGAGCGGCACTGCTGGAATTCTCCCTCCTGGATGCCTCAGTGCTGGAAGCTGCACTGAGCAGGAGGCTGAGACTATGAAAGGGGCCGTTGGGATGGGATGCATGTGCACGGGGCCCACTTGCTGGGAGTTACCCCAAAACTCTTTGCCAGGTTGCTCTTGGCAAAGAGCAAGCAAGCTTAGGGCCAGGCCTGTTTTCTGAGGGATGTGCATGCGTGGGCTGCAGGAGGACCTGGCCAAAGGAGCAGAGGATTCTGGTACGGAAGCCTGAGAAGTTAGCTTCTAGAATTTTTCTAGATGGCTGCCATGAGACTAGAATTATTAGAATTTGGGGGCAGTTTCCTGTCTGAAAGGTAAACCCTGACCCAGAAATCCGACATAGGCCTTAGGCATTGGCCCTGCCCATGGGTGAAGTCTGACCAAGGCTCTGTCTGCTACTCCTGTGGGATCAGTGTGTGTCTGGGCTTAATCTGGTCCTGTGGGACTGGCCAGTAGTGGACACCTGTCATCTCCACAGTCCACAGATCATTATTCGGGTTCAGTGGCAAAAGGCTAAGACATTCCAAAGACGTGCTGGTTTGGGTTATCTGCACCTGAAAGTGATACAGTAATTGAGCACAGCCTAACTGCAACCATACATGTTTATTTTACAGCTCGATCAGTCCGTTCTAGAAGCGCTTCCCCCTGATCTCCGGGAACAAGTAGAGCAAGTTTGTGCCATGCCACGTGGTGACAGAAAAAAAGAACCGGTAAATGGCTCTAATACAGGAATTTTGCCTCAACCAGTTGGGACAGTTTTGTTACAAATACCAGAACCTCAAGAATCTAACAGTGACACAGGAATTAATGTAATAACCCTTCCAGCATTTTCACAGGTGAGTTAAATTTCAGGACCTCCTGCCATAGTTTAAATATTCTCACCCGTCCCACTCCAGCTCAGGCGTGTTCCCTTTCCTTTGCACTCCAAACTCTCGGGAGTCTACACCAGGCCCCTTGCGGGTGGGGAGAGGGACTGGCTCGTCTGATCTACGGGACAGTCACAGTTGCCTCTCCTAAAGCAACTGAGTATGGCCGCCAAGGGCAGACAAGAGGGAGGCTGTGGTGTGGTGTGCTTACAGCTTCCACCTAGAAGACACATCCTGCTCCTCTGGCCAGAGACGACCACTGAGCTGTTCTCGAACAGGGTACAGATGTGTCACCACACAGTGGGGACAATATCAGTCCAAGTCAGATATTTCAGAAACATCACACGTGAGCCTGCTTTCTTGTCCCTGGTCGGTCTGTGGTTTTGCTTTTGTTTTTTTAATTTCATATTCAAATCCTAAAACCTTGTGAGGATTTAATAAGCCTTGATATTGAGGACCTATTAAGAATTCATACAGGTCAGAAAAGTATGATTTAAAAACAAAATCTATTTTGTGAACAACCAGCTGCCATACAGAATCAACTTAGGTTTGCCTTTGAACCTTCTCTTTTCCACTAGGTGGACCCTGAGGTGTTTGCTGCCCTTCCTGCTGAGCTTCAAAGGGAGCTGAAAGCAGTGTATGATCAAAGACACAGGCAGGCTGAGAGCGCTCAGCAGCACACAGCCAGAGAGGCCGGTAAGCCCCCGAGTGACATGTAGTAACAAAGATGGAGATGTGAGCTGTGAGATCACCGTGGTGGGTGAGGGGCAGAGTCCGTGCTGTCAGTCATGTTAAGAGCCCTTTCTACTGGGGGAAGAACTCTTATGTATATAGTGTGGGCATGAGTTAGAGTCCCAGTTAGATTTGTATCTCTAACTTCCTGACTTAAAAACAAATGCCTAAACAAGATATTACCAGACATCTTCTGGAATACTTGTCAAGTCCACTGTCCTTTGAGGCTAATCCACCAAGGGATGTAGTTTGAAAATAAAATCTAAAGGTTTTTGGATCACACACACATTCACTATAAAAACCGTGTCTGCTGAGCTGTTGGGTTTCATTTAATCCTTATGAACACCCCATTGCAGAGCAGCAGTGTTCCCCAGGGCAGCTGAGGGCGTGACAAGACACACTGGCAGATGGAGAGCCTGCATAGGGCTGCCACTGCCTCAGTCTGGCCCGAGGCCTTGCTGGGTGTGTGTGTGGGGGGGGGGGGGGGAGGGCTGTACCTGGGAGGAGAGAACCCATCATTGTCCAGAAGCTGTGGTTCAGCATTCTGGTTTTTTTTTTTTTCTTAGTGCTAAAGAATCCATTACTTCAGCTAAAACCAGCAACATTGAAAGAAAAGAAACGAAACAAGAAGAAAAATCTTATGAGTTCCCCCCAAAAGATTCAGAGTCCCCTGAAAAACAAGCTGCCGAGTAGTCCCGCTAAAACCCTGCCGGGCGCCTGCGGGGATCCCCAGAAGCTGATCGATGGCTTTCTGAAACACGAAGGTCCTGCTCCTGAGAAACCTCTGGTAATACTTTTGTATGCTTTCTAAACTGACTTTTTATCCCGTCTTACTGTACTTGAAGCACTTTCTCGTGCTTGCTCCACAGGGAGAAGGCGCTGCTTCCCCATCAGGCAGCACGGGCCCTGGTGACCTGCAGCCTGCAGCGTCTGGCTGCGCTAGACCCCCAGCCCCCAACCTGGCTGGAGCGGTGGAGTTCAGTGACGTGAAGACCTTGCTCAGAGAGTGGATCACCACCATTTCAGGTTGGCTTGGACGGCGGGCGGGTGCTGCAGTGACCTGTTTACACAATGGCACTGGGTTCCAGGACAGAACAGGCTGCACTCACTATGCAGGGAGCTCACTATCCTAAATCTGATACGCTCAGAGCTGCCAGCTGCCCTTTCAGGTTCGGGCTGCTGGGGAAATGGCCTCCAGTAACCCTGCAGCTCACTGCTGCTCACTCAACTTCTCCCCTCTAGATCCAATGGAAGAAGACATTCTGCAAGTTGTGAAGTACTGTACTGACCTCATAGAAGAGAAAGACCTGGAAAAACTGGACCTAGTCATAAAATACATGAAAAGGTAATGAGTACTTTTATCAGAAGGAAGGAGTGGCATGTCACAGCGGCTAATCGAGGGAGATGAGGTCCTGAGGTTTGACACTTTCTGGCACCAGCTGCATTAACTGTACTGTACTCTTTAGGGTTAGTGAAAAAGGGTGCCCTTTACTTTGAACCTGAGAAAGAAATGCCGTAACACCGACTGGCTAGTAAATAAGATCAAAATGAGCTCATTCCCCTCAAGGTTTAGATAGTGTAAGACCATAGGAAGTAAAACGTTAAAACACTAAAGCTCTGTTCATCTGATGCTTGAAGGAATCACCAGTCCTTCCTGACGTTTCTTCTTTCCCCACCTGCAGGTTGATGCAGCAGTCGGTGGAATCAGTTTGGAATATGGCATTTGACTTTATTCTTGACAATGTTCAGGTGGTTTTACAACAAACTTATGGGAGCACATTAAAAGTCACCTGAATATACCACAGAGCCTGTGCTCGCCGCTGGCTGTGCCATAAGTGCTTGTGCGGTATTTGCAAAGTGCATGATAGTAATGCTCCAAGTTTTTATAATTTTAAATTTCTTTTTGAGCAAGTGTTTTGTACATTTCTTTTCAATAAGTGCCAAATTTGTCAGTATTGCATGTAAATAATTGTGTTAATTCTTTGACTGTAGTATAGATTCTATTTACAAAATGTTTGTTTATAAAGTTTTATGGATTTTTACAGTGAAGTGTTTACAGTTGTTTAATAAAGAACTGTATGTATATTTTGTACAGGTTCCTTTTTGTGAATCCTTTAGGAAACAAACCCTGAACTGTTTATTATACTTACAGGCTGAAAACCTCCAAGCCAGACTGTTACAGACTCCATGCTAAGCTTTGCAATTCCTGAGAGGTCCCAGGCTGAGGTCTCATTTCTTCCGAGCAAGGGTAAAGCTCCTAAACAATCTTATCCTGTCCCCAAGCATGAACACGGGAGCACATTACGAAAATCTTTACTTCTTCCCAGCGTAGGAATTGACATATTTTGAATTAGAACACTACACACAATTAAAGATTCAGTTTTTCCTGGGAAAATTAGATCCCACAGATGGTGGAGAGGTGTTCTGTTTGCCTCTATTGGCCCTTGAGAAACTGCAATCATAATGAAGAATGGTAGATTTTCAAATACACATCAAGTGTTTTTATGCTATGTTATGCAATTACACTCCAAAAAGTTTATAATTCTGTGCCAGTGAATACTTGGGAACATTTTCTTCAAACAGCCCACATTGACTTCATTCAACGCTGCTAAATAGGTAGTCAGATATTAGAGATGTTATAAGAATTAATCTAACGCTAATACATTGGGGAAAGGACTACATCCTCATGGAGACCCACTTTCCACATTCTTCAGGAAAACCAAACTAGCTCTAATCAGATCAGGGATATGATTAAATCATTTAATCATTATGATCTAAAAACTTAGAAGCACTAAGCCGAAATAGTTAATTCCCTGCTGAGTGTCTCATCAGAAAATGTATTATGCATGATAGAACTTTCTAGGACAAAATAGACCAAGATTGGTGTATAAAAATTTCTAATGTTAACATGTGCTATTGCACACAGTAGGATAGTTAAAATACTTCTCTTCCTTAAAAGAGCTGGTGACTGGGGGGGAGAAGCTATGCTACACGGAGGCCTAACAGCTCACCGGTGAAGGTCTTTTTCTTTATTGGTGGTTCAGAATTGTGCTGATTACAGTGGACTCTCATGACTAGACAAGCAGTAAATAGCAGCCAACTATGCTTTACACCATGGTTTCACACAGGCAGATAAATACCAGAATGCCTAACTTTCTATTTTTAAAAATTCCTAAGGGCATGTGGCAGAAGAATGCTGGGGGGGGGGGGGGGGGGGGGGGATCACTGGGAGGTTATGCATAAATAAAGTATTTCTTACATCAAAAAAGTCCCCAAAATCACAAAACCTGCAGAAGCTTGGTTAGTCAAATACTGCAGTACTGATTTAATCAGTATAAAATCGAAAGAGCTTTAGGTCTGTAATAAAAATTCAAATTTGGGAAGGGCAAACTTTAAAACAGCAGCCAGTAGAGGGTTGGGGAGGGGTGGGTGCACACAGGCAGTTGGAGCTGTGGGGACATGTAATCGACCACTGTCAAACCAGTGTAAGTTTCTTGGTTTCTCATGGAAAACATTTATACATCTATTTTTTTCCTTCCATACTTAAGTGCATCAGTGTCCAGATACGTCCACTCCATTTTGTCGTTTTTCTTGCATTTACTCCGATTCCTGCCCCGTGTGGAAAAATTAGATGATTTCAAATACTTTCTTTAGCTCCACAATAAGCTGCCAGTCGCTCTTCTGCATCTCGTCTCGGAACCAGTCCTTCAGGGCGTCGATGGACTGCCGGCTGATCTGCAAGGTCCGTGACAAACAGCAGATACGACAGAATGTAACCAAGTGCCCAAGAAGAGCAGGTGGCCCCATCATGATGTCACCTGGTACTCATTACACAGGGAGCTCGGGCAGTGCTGCCCGCCTTTCCCCACTTCTGTGGGTGAATGCAGAGGGGGGTGGTCTAGGGCACTTTCCTCAGAGACAAGGCCACAGGCATCCCAGCCCTCAGAGGTGACCCACCTCCCCACCCCACTTCAAATGGCCACTTGGGCGGAGACTCACCTTACTGACAAGAATGTCCGTAGCTTCAAAATGTCTCCCGTACATTTTGGGAGATTCACCAGGAATGGGCTCTATTTTGACACAGACTTCTTGTCCTTTTTTTGCAACGTCCACTTGTTTATGGTTTATTTCAATACTTGTTACTATTCCAATGTCAACAAACTAAAATAAGGACAGAAAGTACAATGTGAGCAGAGGAGTCCTGCCAGTCACAGGTGCCCTAGCTGGAGAACTGAGATCAAAGCTGGTTTGAGCAGAAGGGCAAGTTCAAAGCCTTGGCTCTGTGACCCTCATGATCACTTTAGGGTCTCCACAGTTGAACTTTTTCCACTGATAAACTAGGTATGACACCAACACCACCTCTCTACCCTTCACATAATGGATGTCAGGGAAAAAAAGGAGATTACTGATGTGCTTTGAGAAACAAGAGCTCTGTCAATCCAATATGACAGGTACCATAGTAAAAGGAAACAGGTCCAGCAGGTATGAGTTTGGGGGGTTGGGTGGGGCAGGGACAGTCCGAGGGGCAGCTGGGGCCACCTGGACCCTAGAGGTCATGGTTAGAACTCTGCTTTCTTCTGAGAATTAGGAGCGGCCTATTTTGTTATGGTTCAGAGCGGGTGAGGAACATCCCTGCTGCCTACCTTGGGAGGAAGAGACACAGGAGGGTGAGTGAGAACAGGGAGCTGGGTGTGGCCAAAGCCATACAGGAGGTCATGGCTGCAAGTGAGCGTCCTAGCTCAGCCCATCGAAATGGTACCAGGGTGATGCCTCCCAAGTGCATTTACCATTCACCAAAGGAGCCGGATCAGGGGCATCTTACTGTGCCAGCAAGGAAGAAAATGCTCAAAGCCTGAGGCAAGGATAGGAGCCAGCTTGAATGGCTCCCAATCTGGCTATCAAAAATACTGGTACTGGACTGTAACATACCAGATTTCTAAAACTGAACTGGGTCTATAGGTACTTAATGAAAAGGTCAGGGGGACAAACGTCCTTTACAGAAGAAGCAGGGGCAGGGGGTCACTATTTCACGACCACTTATGTAGTAATTGATTTGCACAAGGATTGTCAATGTTAATGAAGTGTCTGGGACAAAGGCTGAGAAACAGGAGACTCAGGGATGCAAAGTATCCCGTAGATTACTTAGTGATCACAAAGGGGGAAACAGCTGTCTCTAACAGAGACGCAGACAGCACGCACTTTGCCCAGTAATCGGCGTCGGTGATAGTGAAATGCACGAGGCACAGGGGACACTGCAGGGTCCTTGCCAATTACCTTGTGTCTAGTCGTGGGGAAACAGACATATCCAAGCTGGGAAATCATCTGACACAATAATCTGGACTCTTCAAAAAGGACAGGCCTGTTTTCCTGACTGAGACTGAAACATGTCACAGCCAAAGGCAGTGCACCTGGAAGGGGTCCTGACCAGGTTAGCAGGTGGGGTTATTAAAGCCATTTTAGGGACAACTGGTAAAATGTAAATGAGGACTACAAACTGCAATTTTCATTACCTGAAGCGCTGGTATCAGGTGCTAAGAATCAACGCTGATATTTAGCAAGGCTGAGGAATAAAATATAAAAGGTGACAAGCTCTGCTTGGTTTAAGTTTTTGTTCGTCACCATTCTGACTCCCATTTACTGCTTTAAGAAATGGCACGTTTTTGTAAAAAATGGCACTTACATTTTTGGTAGGGACGCACATGGGGGTCCCTTGTTTCACCTGGCCCGCTTCCACAATCACACCCATCACTATCGGGTCTCGGGAATTGAAAATATACTGAGGGAGGATTTTCATCTTGCAGGGAAACACCGCTATGTGCCTACAAGGGAGGAAAAAAAAATTTTTAAACTTGCAAGAGGACATAAAATGAAACAAACCAGGTGAACATGAGGCTGCCTCTCCCCACTAGGTAGTACACCTTTCCCCAGGGACTGCGGGAAGGATGCCAAAGTCAGTGGCCACCTTCCATGGCTTGCTTCTCTCGTCCTCTCCTACCTCTGCCCACCTGGGTTCTTCCCACGTCTCCCGGAAGCCACCTCACAGGAACACTTGGTACCAGACTAATGGGCTGAGCTCTGCCCCAAGGACGGAGCTGAGCTTAGAACCTCAGAGGGACCTGTTGGGTGTGGCATGTGTGTAGTCTGTACTGGGAACTACACAAGCACCAAACCACATCCTCCTCTTCCCTACCATGTTCCCAAATCGGTTGATCCAAAAGGCCACTATTCCCTGCTTATCAAGCATATGTGTAAAGTGCCTTCAGCTTCTTGCAGTCTTCTTTATCATCAACCTGAAGTCTTCTCCCTTTAGGTGTCCTGATCGAAATCCTAACGCTCATGAGTCAGCACCATAAAAATGCTCCAGGCTGAGCCACCCCTCCCGGTGGCCACTCTGCCCTGAGCCATCTGGCCTCCTGAGTCTCACTGCAGACGCTAAAATGGCTACAGGGGCCTACCCGCTCTGGGTCCTGCCAGCTCTGACCTCGTCTTCCCGCAGGTCCCTGAGGACTGCCTCCCAGCACCATCCTACCTGGACACCCCTGTGCCTGGGCGGCTCATTTCATTCCCTTCAGGTCTCTACTCACAGGCGAGCTGCCTCCCCATCGCATGACTAATCACAGCTCTCCTCTCCTTTATAGCCCTTCCCTGCTTTTTTTGCTCTTTAGCAATCATCCCCACTTCTCATGTGTTCACTACTTGTCTCTGCCCTGCGTGCCAAGAGGAGGGGACCTGACCAGAGCCACCGTTGAGCCGTCCAGCACCTGCGCAGTGCCACTCCCACCAGGCACTCGGTGAGGTCTGCTGGACGGATGAGCTTTACTCCCACAGATACCTCGCCTCATTTCCTGATTTTCCACACTTTAATTTTACTTCCACTCCATACAACCCCAGGTAAGGAACTAAGACAAAAGCACCAAATGTAGCAACTACTCACCACGAGTGAGACCTCGGTCTGCCAAATGGACAATGCAGCAAAACCAGAAAGGCTCGTCCCCGCACTGGTGGACAGGACTTGGGGTGTCTAACCCCATTGCAGAAACCAGCCTCAGGCAGATGAGCCAATGCCACACTCCTGTCTTCTGGACACCTTTC